TATGAAGTTTAGAAAAGATAAAAATGTGTGGTCGAGATTTATGCACATGCAGGACATAGAATTATTCTGAACCATTACATGCTCTCATTAAAAGGGATGGGGAGTTTACTTTGGTACAAACCAAAAAAGAAAGAGAAGTTATTTTGGGGCGTAGGAATATTTTCAAAAGTTCTTTATATGTTTACATTGAACTTTATGAAATTTAATACATAAAACAAACACATTCTTCCTCTGTCCCGGTTTGATTTGAACTATGAATTCACGTAGTTTAAGAAAAGTGTTGAAAAGTAAAAAATGAGTTCTTGAAAGTTCTTTAGAAGAAAGAGATGAAACATGTGCCACATATCCTTTGATTTATTAGGAAAGTAAAGAAGTGTAATTTGTTTTGGGACAACCCAAAAACAAAAGTGTATCAATTAATTCAAGATAGAGGAAGTGTGCCTTATAACAAAAATAAGAAAATGACAGTCACCGTCATCAATTTGAAAAGAGTTACACTATGTTTGGTTTAGGGAACTTGGATGGAAAAGAAAAGAAAATGGTTTTCACTCATTTTCCTCACCAAAATGAGAGGAATTTTGTTTTTCCTCATCTTAGTATATTTTGCCTTCTCATTTTCGCTTCCTTCCACTTTTCTTTTCCTCCCTTACCAAACAAGAAAACTTGCTTCCCATCCCATTTTCTTTTCTTTTCTCTTTCAAATTCCTTGAACCAAACATAGTGTTAAGGTCTTACATGTCGTAAATCTTGATGAAATTTCTATTAATATAAATAAGTCGATAGAGTCTAGCAAAGGTCTTTTCCTATTTGATATTTCAACTTCTGTGGTAAGTATCAATTCTTTATTATGCATGATGTCACAACAGTTCATTCTAGTAGTACAATTAAGGGCTTGAGAAGATCCTCATAATCTCCACTAACAGATTGGATGCTGTGCACATGCTTAATAATTGTTGGCTGCTGCATGTAATCATGCCTCATGTTTTTTATGCTTATTTCTTACTGTCTTTAAGAGCATTTTTAGGAATGGATATTTGTTTCCATAGAAATTTAGGGTATATTATTTTGTCTTGTTTGCAGGTTATCATAACTGCATATCGTTATGCCCTATAAGTATTAACTGTCAAGATTTATAATGCAGCACCTTCACAGTTGTTTACTCAATGAGACCTCTTCCATCTGGAGCTGTCTTTAGATGTTATCCAGGGTAAGGACTAATACTATCTAGTATCTACTTGTTACAAATAGATTTGGCAGATTTAAGTGGCAGCTGCTGGTTTCCTGGTGATTTAGCTGAGTTAGAATTCTTGACCCAATTAGCTACTACATTTCTCCATTATGGTTTTATGACATGCCTTGGTGCACCGGTTGTGGTGTTGTCGTTTGACCTTAAGATGAAGTGTAAGGAGATAGGCATTCAGTGACGATGAGGATGTTGGTGCTGGCCCCAAGTACAGGCGCATAGGAGTGTGCATTATTCGGTCCGGACCCGATACCTGGCCAAAACCGGACCGGAGCGGTCCTTATTCGGTCCTCATTTTTCTTTTATTCGGGTTCCGGTCCGGTCCGGTCCACTGGGTTTTGGTCCGGACCGGTGGACTGGTTACATTTTATTTTTTTTAAATATTTTTTTATATATAGTTTTATAATATTGTAATTCTTAAGGTTTTTTATTATACTTAAAATTAATTTAACTTTAATACTAAAAGTTTTTTAAATGTTTTGATTTTATTATTTAATATAATTTTTTTAATATATTTTCAATTCAAAATAAGATACCAATTATAATGATTTTTAAATATTTTTAATATGAAAAGTGTGAAAAAGTAAACATTACCTTTATATTAGCAATCTAATGCATTTCAAATTTATGTACCAATACTATATATAACTTAAATTTGTACTTTATCAATAATGAAACTCTAACCCGCAAAAATAAACATTAAGCAATTTCATGAACAAAAATAGTAAAAAATGCATCCGTTTGCCAAAATAAATCAAAAACTCAAAAAAAAAAAAAACAAAAAAAAAAGCAAAAATGTAGTAAGAAGAAGAATATTCCCTATGTAAAATAAAAATTACAAACAAAGTTTATGTAGTACGGATGGGAGATATATATTTTATTTAAAGTTTTTAAAAAAAATAAAAAACAACAGTGCTTGACAATGTTTAGTGTATCTTACAATTAAAAATCAGTTGTAGTAATATTTTTATTCAATTGAATGCTTTAAATTAAATAAATAAAATCTAATTTTAAAAAAATAACATTTATTCGGTCCGGTCCCGGTCCGGTCCTCGGTCCACCAAATGCCCCTTATTCGGTCCTGGTCCGGGCTGGTCCGGGTTTGACCCGATGAACACCCCTGGGAGGCAACATCGGGGAGACTCGGCTTCCTTGAGGAAGAAATGGGTCCGGGCAATTTGCATATAGGATTTGAGCACTCCTGTCCCAGAAAAAAAGCAAGAAGTCAAGAACCTATTGATTACACCGTTTGTGGCTTGACCGAATGTATCACACACTTATAGTGAGACTCTTCTCAGACCCTTGCTTAGCAGGGATGCCTTTGCCCATCAGGCTGCTCTTTGTACTGTTTTGTTTTGACATTTTTTCATCGATATCTCGGTATTATTATCTATCTCCAAGCTGTGCATAAACTAGAAGAACTCTTTATAAGTAGTTTGAGAATTAATGGATGCTCATTGACTTTCTCTCTATTTCCCTGCAAGCCAGATTGTGGAAGGTGTTCTATGATGATAAGTTTCGGCCAAACCGTTATCTCCTTGCCAAGGAACAGATTAGATGCCCCACTTCTGATGAACTTGAGGTTAGATGCTCTTATCTTCTGTACTATCAAACTAAACATGTTATCAAGAACATTACGATCTTACAAATTTTGGAGGGGTGGCATAAAAGTTTAGGTGTTGTTTTAATTTGTTCACCCTTTTTTGTTTTTATTCATTCTTATTTTTATCCAATAAGACAATGCTATATCAAACGAAAACCATTTAGTTCAGACAAGAGGAACTAAAAAGTATCAAATTAGAGGCCAGAAGTTATATTTCAGACCTGGAAAATTCCTCGAGATCAAAATAATTATTCAGTTCAGATCACATTTCAGACGAAGAGTACATGCCATTAGTCAATATGTTTCTAGGAGAAATGGGAAGAATAAACAAACTCTGAGCCGGGTGCAAAAAACAATACAAACTAAGAATGCATTTACTTGTGACCCAAACTTTGGAGGTGAGGTAGGGACTCAGTAGCACGTACAGTGTCACTGCACACTAACAAATTTGTAATTATTGCATATGTGTGATTTTCCCCATTAAAAAAATTACATCACCTTTTTTTCTCAGTTTTGCAATTCATGCATCAAGAAAGATTCATTTTCACTTCTCACAACACCAGTTCCTTGCACTCTTTTTTCTATTTGATATATTGTTCCAATTTCTGCATTGAGAGTCTCATACTTTTTTTCGCTATCTGTGATTCACTTGATTGCACGAGGGCAATATTCCCACTTTTCGTACCATTGGAAAAATTTACAACTGTCCACCTGCAAGTGCACATACAAAATTGCACTTCCTGTCTCTGTTAAGTAAGCAAATATGTAGTATAAGATCGAACACTGGCTAATGATTGCTGCAGAATTAGTATTTCAGTTTGGGGGAATTGAGGGAAAAAGGGATGGGCTTATTTGGGGAGTTCTGGTGATAAAAAAGGGAAAAGACATAATTGTGGTGCGGAGGTTTGCTTTGAGATGGAAATATGTAAATAATGTGATTTTTTAAAGGGAGAAAGGGTGTAAAATCATGAAAAGTCAAATAATTACAATCTATTTTACTGTACAGTGACAATGGCTTACTGCATGTGCTGCTGAGTACCCTTGACACACACAGTTTGTACCACATGATTTGATAAATGTTTAGTTCGAGCTGTTTATTGCACCTGACCCATTATGTTATTCTTCCCTATTTTCCTACATTTCTAAGGAAGTTGTAGTTAATCAATTTACAGGATTTGTTGCATTTAAACTGCGTGCTGTGGAATGAGAAACATTTTCTTACCATTCTCTCCATCTCTTTTTTTAAGGCACTTGGGGTGTGTTTTGAACTTGAGACCTTGTGCTTATAGTTCCTGCATAAACACATGACCTTTTTTTCCACTTTTGTTACACAAGATCTTGCAAGACATTGTTTCCTCACATTTGGAGAATTTATGCTTCAAATAAATGTTAGAGATCATCAAACGCCATACTATTTGGTGTATATGTCTAATGCAAGGATGCCAATTGACCGTTTTCACTACAAACAATGTGTATATGCTGAAATAAGGTGTAAAAAATCTGAACGAAGGGGTGTGCTAGAGGTATACTAAGTTTGCACCCCAACTTGCACACCAAGTGTATCACAGGCACACAGACCGCCGCACATACAATTGTACATACAATTGTTGTCTGGGTGTGTCTGATACACATGGTGTGCAAATTGGGGTACAAACTTGGTGTACCCCCTAGCTTTTTTCCTGAACTAGTGTTAGAGTTGTGAAGAAACACATCTTGAACTACTATGACTGTACATTGAGTACATTATAAATTTACATCACCATTAGGATTAAGGTGCAGGATGATTATCATACACATGCGGTTAATATTGATGGTATAGTGAATCATTGACATGCTTTTCTGCCTTTGTTTTTGGTTGTCAAAATATATGCAGATAATATTTGGAGATGTAGATGATAAGCAAGAGAAGGGTACATCTCTCTTAGATCAAGCAGCTGGATTAGTGTCTTCCATTACCGGTTTCTTGAAAGTCATTTCAAGATAAGTTAGTTTTATCAAGCAGCCGGAATCTTGTTTTCCTCATACTAGAGCCATACTTGCATAGCATTTTAATTTTTATATCGTTCAATTTATCTATATATATATATAATAGTCCTCTTTTACTTGTTGGAAAATCCTGGAAACAATTCCTCTTTCTACTTGTGAAAATATTTTTGTGGCTCATATCTTTTCACTCATTTGCATAACTTCCAACCATACAAATTTATTTTTCTTAAACATTGTGGCGAACAAAATATGGACTATTAATTTGTATTCTCCCAAAGAATAGTCACTCGAGTAGAGTAGTCTCCTAGGACAATCGGAACCTCAACAAGGGAGCCCTTTAGAGAGAAAGTGGTGTCAATGACCTCTCTGTTGATCCCAGTAGATGTGTGAGTTCTAAGTAATTGATACCCAATTGTCGAACCAACATTCAAAACTAGTTGTGTGCGTTTGAGCGGAGTAGACTACTCCACTCCCATTCTTATCTATCACCTGAGACATGATTGACGTGAATATCCACACCTTGACAAATGAGGTGGGTCAAAACTTGCTTCGATTCCATGATATAATTTCTAGAATGGGACAGGGATCGCTGAATTGGGCCATAAAATACTTGGATTCAATCACATTAAAAGATGAAAACCAATCAATTAACTAATTTAACTCAAGAGCTTATATATTTACTAATGTTCTTCTCACTTTTCAGATGTGAAACTCTCTATAACACCCTCGGAGGGAAAATATTGCCGATATTGATCTCTTATAGCTAGCCACCTATCCTTGATGAAGGTTTCTTCTTCTATCACACCATCTTTCCCCGAGCAAGTGTGGCAGGAAAAGTCAGGATTTATATAACGCTCTAGAAACTAACCTAAGAGTTAGCAAGTTTTTTAAATAAATAAAAGTTTTTTTGGATATCTATTTATTTTAAATAACTAATTATTGTGGTTTTGATTATTTTAATTCATTTTAATAAATAAGTATAGAGATGGTGTACTTAACTAGTACGGAGCTTATCAATATCAATTAATTGGAACGAATGAATTAATATCTAAGATGGGCCATGATTTTAGGAAATAAGACTAAAGTAATAGTAAAACATTGAAAATATATTAAAATAGGATTTTCATATTTTTATTTTTGAAATAAAAGTTAAAATATATTTACACCAAAAAGTATAGTAATGTGCATGACCATGTTAATAATAAAATTAATGGCCATGACAAAAAAGTATAGTAATGTGCATGACAAAAAAGTATAGTAATGTGCATTACTAAAAAAATATTGGAGTATTATACTTTTTGGTAATGTAAATGCATCTTAACTCATTTCGAGAATAAAAACATAGAAGTCTTATTTTGGTATATTCTCAATGTTTAACTCATTTGGAGAGTGTTCTACTATTTGGGATCGGACTTGCTAATAAATTACTGAGCACCCCCTTTTTCTCTTTGTGTCCTAAACATATTTATTGGTTTATTTATACTACTCCGATCCTAACATATACTGCTCCCACCCCCCCCCCCCCAACATATATTTCTCGGCAACCATTGGCTATGATTCTCCATGAAATATGAACGGTACATTGCTTCAAAATAAATATTATGTTATTTGAGAATGAACACTGTTTCATAATGAACACTACGTTATTCATAAACGAAGATTATATTTGTAATGAATAAATGTGTAGAAATGAAACTACGTTGTTTCAGAATGAGCACTACGTTGATTCAAAATGAACATCACGTTATTTCAAAATGAATATTCTTTGTACTCCAAAATAAACACTTATTTTTTGTGCAAAAATGAGTACGACTTTACTCCAAAGTGAGTACTATCATGCTATATCATAGTTCCTGTGCAGCCAGTTGTACAATATACACACTCTTGCTCTCCGAGATGTTTCCCATTACGAATGCTCTTATTCATGTATTGTATTTGCCTTCTTTTACGGAGTAACATTTTTCGTCGTTATTATTATTGTTGTTTGGAACTCATCAATAATTTAATATCTATGAATTTGTATAAATTCATTAACATTTTAATGTAGACACATTATCTTTTATTTTTTCTATGTAGAATATTTTTAAAAAATGTGCCTAGTTTAATATTTGGGTGGTAGATGTTTGATTTTTTAAAATATGATTTTAGAATTGACAATGCCACTTCAAAATGAAATGGTACTGAATAATCTTAGGGTTCTCCCAATGCTACCAATCCCAGGAATGCACTTCAACAGTGTAAATACTCATCTACAATTTGACAATTCGCACAAAGTCTTTAATAGCAAACAGCTTCATATTCACAGATGCATTATTTATGCTGCATTGTAGGCATGGCAGATTCTTATTAATTAACTTGCAGCCTTATTATACAATATTGCACATATCTTCTCACCTCACCTCAGCCTGCATCCATAATTTTGACAATATACACAGTATAACAAAGAGAAAAGATCTATATTTACCAGGGCAATCGAGCCGGTATGGTTGTTTTGGTGGGCTCAAAGATCTATATGCATGACCTGGGTGTTCCAGCCGCGCAGTGTAACTTTTGGGGTCACACCTGGAGGAACTTCAAACGAAAGTGTTATTTTAATCACTTCACCAGGTACCAGTGAGAAATAGTTGTCCGAGTAGTGAACTGGTAGAATGCGTGTGTCTTCGTTCTTGGGACTTTCGTTCGAAGAAGCTTTGTTAACTGAGAAATGGAGGAAGAAAGCAACCCCTGCCTCGGCAGTTCCCTCTGTTTTTGAAACCTTCACGTTGCTGTGTTCCCCAACAACCATCCTCCACAGCTTTTGATAAAAACTGGTTTCGCGTTCCCCACTTGTGAGATTATTATACTCAGCTGGTTGCGAAAATGCATCTGAATCATTACTCCTGTTGTGTAAAGTGACACGGTTGTTTTCAAGGAATGCAGATTCAGGCTTCTTTGATGTGTTCTCAATGACCAACCGCATCTCGTAGCTAGACTTGTTGATAAGAGTTTGGGAAGTTACTTTGAGGGGTATTTTCTTCTCCCTGTAAGATTCCAAGAGCTTATAATCACCAATAGAGAGATGCAGCCAGTAAAAGTTCCGAGATAATATGGTCTGATCTGAAACATTGTAGAGCTTGAGAAGAAGAAAGTAAACCGGCTTTGCGTTCTCCTGCTTAGGGTATTCCATCTCAAATGTGGACATTGTTTGTTTGGGTGGTACATTTAGCTTTTCAGAGACTTTGTAGTACGGACACTCTCCTTGCAGATCCCAAACAGTGACTTCAATAGCAACTTCAGAAAGCTGTTGGGAGGTAGTGTTTACCACCTGTAGTCAAACAGCAAAGGATATACTAATCAAACAGCTGAGAATTGGAGATGACAATGCAAAATGAAATTGGATATTGATTCAAGAATCAAATGCTAAGCAAACCCAATCTACCCTTTTTTGGATGGATGAAGTACAAAATGGCGTCCATTGCCATTGGAGCTAAGAGAGTCATTTTTAGAATGTTTTCGCTTTGGGTTAATAATAAACTAAATCAAAAAGTTATATTTAAGGTTTCCTGCTTCTTGCTTTCTATGAAGTTTTGGTTGGCAGTAAATGGCATCAATGCGGGGGCGTAACGGCAATATCCTCTGTTTTTACAAAGGTAAGGTAGCGTACATATCGACCCCTAAACCCCAAATGAAGTTGGCCTTATACTAGGTTTATTGGTCCAAAAAGTAGTACAAGATAATCTTCATAACTTTCATAAGGAAAGATACACAAAGCACTTCACTATCATCAACACTTGAGTTTCGTTTGGTTTAATTCATTGAGGTGATTCTATCAGAATCAACTAGAATTAGTTGATGTATTTTCAGAATGCGAGTAGAATCACTTGTTGATTCTGCTCTCACAAGATCAGATTCCTAGAAGTAACCAACTAACCAAATACTTGATTCTCCAGATTCGCCTAATTCTAAAAAAAAAGATTATAATTCTGAGAATCAGAATCGCCAGAAGTAAAACAAAATGAGGCCTTGGCAATTGCTTACCTCTATCATATATGTATGCAGATTAAGCTGAACATGAACTGGTTCGGCAGCACAGCGGCAACCATAAAACCCTGCTGTTTGATCATGGAGATGATCATAGAATTGACCTCTTAAGCCTGTCCACGGATTTTGTGTTTTCCATATCAAAACACCTGTATATTTGGTCCACATACGGGACGTCCAACCTTCCAGCAGAGCTCTATATTGAATGTAGTTCACTAATTGTGCCTGTAACAATTAACCATACACAACCTAATGAGTCTAAAAAAGGTCAGGAAATAAAGTGGATGGTATGAAAGATATGTGTCAGTTTACAGATATTTTATTCACCTTAAGACAAAAGTCATCAAGATCATTTGGTGTCCCATACAGTAAAATCTGGTCATGGACCTTCTTTTCTGGGTTAGAATATGGAATGTATTTGTGGTACTCCCATATTGGGTTGGGGACTTCCTTTACATACCCATCCGATAGTTTTCTAAACAAAGGAATCTGCCACCCTTCTAAAGGCATCGTTGCACGAATAGTAGCTGCCACTGGCACCCCGACGGAGCCAACCTCAGGATTGAACCCATAAGCATAATAGTCGTCTTTGAAGAAGTCTTCCGGATTCTGGATTTCATAAGGACCATCTGTAAAGTTCCCTTTCCCATCAGCAAATCCATCCCACATGGATCCCTGTACATAAGCACGCGTGCCATCAAGATATTCGCTTGGGTCCTTCACAACGTGTCCTTCACTGGAATCCTTAAAATATGGGTGGAGTTGTAGGTCATTCTTTAAAGCTTCATTGATATCAGATGGTGGCACTTGTTCATTTCCCCCAACCCACAAAGCGAGACTTGGATGATTCCTCAAGAGCTTGACAGTATCTCTTGCACAAAACAAGAACAAGTCATGGTCCAATGGTCCATCTGGATTTGACACGGGGTCGCCTCGTCCATCACAGTCTCCAGTAATCCAGAACTCTTGCCAAACCTGCAGCAATTTGTTTATCAATTCAATTTACCAAAAATCGCGTATCAAACACGTAATGTCTAAATAATTGAAGGGGGCAAGGGGCACATCCCTATGCATAAAGGCATATAAACACACTGCATAATGAGGAATGATAAGAGTGTGTGTTTCACCAGCAAGCCGTATAAATCACAGTAGTAATAAAAATCTGGTCTTTCCGCCAATCCCCCGGCCCAGCAACGGATCATGTTAAAGTTCATATCGGCATGAAATTTAATATCTGCCTTGTATCTTTCCTTCGAAAGCCGTAATAAACCATCCGAGAGAATCCAATTGCCCCCGCGAATAAATATAGGCTGGCCATTGACCTTAAACAGTCTGCAGACATTGAGAGAATTTGAATTTAGCAAAATATCAACATGTAAATACCACTAAAGTGACTAAACATTATGCAGCTCACTGTGTACAGAAAAGGAAACCCGTGAGAGAAGTAAAAGAAACGCAGGCATTTACCTTCCACCTGTAGAACTATCTATGGTGCTTTCAATTTTGCGAAAGCCAAAATGGTTGCTCCACGTGTCAGACTCTCCATGGTCTTTCACATTTACTGTTATTTCAACATTATATAGAGATTGTTTCCCCATGCCATTAGGCCACCACAAAGTTGGCTTGTAGAAAGAAAGCTGTGGAAGGAAATATATAGACAACCTCAATAGTTAGATGCCAATGTCAAAGGAAACATTCACCATTTTTTTTCCAAGAATGATGAGGTTGCAAGTATGAGGATTCTATTCCAAGCATCGCTAGGCTATTTATATATTAGCTTCTTATCCTCACTATAGACCAACTTAAACAAAGCACAGAAAAGGATAAATCATACAAACATTTCAAAATGTAAGGAGGGAAGAAACCCATTCATTCAACACATGACCTCCATAACCTTGGAGAGAGAAGATTGCTAAGTACTAACCTGAGGAAATGTATATTGAGCATGTTCTCCGGGAGAAAGAGAAATTTGTAGTGTATCAAGATGCTCTACTAAGCAAACATTTCCTTCACGTTCAGTAGAAACTTGGATGTTTAAAGAACACTCGGCTTCCTTGGCACTTTTATTAATTAACTCAGTTGTGGTGTGTAGATATACTCTTTTATAGTCGTCGAAGAATGTAGTGACCAAGTGGGGATCCACAATCTTCACAGGCTGTACAAACAGTAACGGGATTGTCATCCTTGAAATCTTAAAAGACTTTTCGCATAGCGATTTAACTGGGTTTTGATACTTTTAGTCTGTTACAAGTTGCCAGTAAAGATCAACAAAATCAAAAATGAAATCAAGAAAAGACTATAAAACTCACCCCTGTTACTGTAATGGACACCTCATCCCAGATTCCCGTATTCCTATCCCTGTAAGAATGTGAAATTGAAATTTGCTGAATGGTTAAAGCAATAGAAATAAACAACAGCCATCTCCTAAATGACATATGGTCATAGAGCCTTCCCACCACCTTATTGAGTTCAAGAACCATTAGCTGTGGCCAGTGGCGGAGCCAGGATTTAGGAGTAGTGGGTGCGCTCTACCGGGAGCTCGTGATTCATGCCCCAAATATTTATTTATAAGGTAATACAGAGTATAAAACAATAAAAAAAATTAATGAATTTTATGTCAAGCTAACATTCATATAATTTAAATGTAAGTATATTAAAAAATATTACTATCTCCGTTCCTGAGTATTTGTTCAGTTTAAACTTTTTTCAGGCAACTATTTTCAATATTTGAACTATAATTAAATAAGATATATACTCCGTATTGTTTATTAATTAAATAAAATAATATTATGAAAATATATGATATAATAAGTCTAATAACACTATTTTTGTATCAATATTCAATATCATTTGTATTTAATTTGAAGTCAAAGTTTACCAATTTTGACCAAAAAAAGTCAAAAGTGAACAAATACTGAGGGACAGAGATATATGTACTCTGTACAATTTCTTCACCAAAACTGTTAATTTAAAAAACAAGTGTTGATTTGAGCATAATCCTCATATTAATTTAATAAAAAACAAAAAAAATATTAAAAATCACACCAAATTAGTAGAGAAAAAAAAATCATATTATCAATTGATATACTTGCTCTTTAAAAAACTTCAAGCAGAAATATGGCACCTCTCCATTATATATGCGGACCCCCTCTGCTCTGTTTCCTCTCTTTCTCTTTCTCTCTCTCTCTCTCTCTATATATATATATATATATATATTAAAAAATAAAAAATGGAGTGACTGCAATTGCAGTCAATTGCTCCTCTTTGGCTCCGCCACTGGCTGTGGCCCATAACCCTACTATAGTATTTGTGTACATGACCCATGTATATTACCAATCTGGCACATTCTTAGCCATTTCCACAGGCTGATTTTACATTTCAACCTATTATTATAGAGACAACCTTCGTATTCCGTATTGCTGCCAACGGTAATAACAACCGAAAAATGCCATTTAAGTAGAGCAAAGCCACAACAGATAAAGAGAGGAAATAAATCTAGAATTATAAAGCAAACATCTTAAACTTACGTCATAGAGAAAAGTACTCAATACCCAAACAAAAAAGGAAGGGAAAAGAACAATTAGCCATACAATTAAAACTAAAGACTCCAAAAGTTTTAAAAGGAGGTTATCAGTTCATTTCTTACAAGTGTGGAGCCAGTTCCCACTCGCATGACTATGTATTCGTTTTTTATTAATAAAATTATCCTCAAAAAATTTCTCCCATCTAAACAAATTCCAATGACATAATTTCTACTTTTAAACACTTTTCATAAACTCCGCGAAATTTAAACTAGGAAAATTTTATGGGGCAGAGGGAGTATAAGTTATTTGACTCCTGTATATCTTGAGAAAAGCTATGTCTACACTTAAGAAAGATTATCAATCTGTAGCATGTGCATGAATGTTCTTTGGAAATGACTATTCCACAAAATTCAAAGTAAATATATGCATGCATTCAAAGATTTTGAATGGGCACATACATAGTAGGGAGGTGGGTTGGGGGAGCAATCAATATAAGTTGCAAATGTTATTCATGTTTCACCTGATGGGAGCCATCCAATCCCATCCTTCAACATATTGTGCAGCAATATCTTTCCCTATCTTCAATGAACACAGAGAATATTAGAATTCTTAAGACAAGTGATAGAAAAATAATTTAGTGAATTTAAAAAACATATATAGTCGAGAATCACCTTTTAACTGTTAGCCCTTACCGTTTAAATATATGATCTTGATTAAGGATTGATTGAGTTTTTAAAAGAACATAGTGATTTGATGCATATAATATTATAAAATTCACATATCATGATTTGTTGTGACTTGTGAGAGATATGAATGATAAGCAAGCAATGATAGCAGTGAGAGGATAACAAAAAGGTTTGACATTTAATATATACATATATATCACTTAAGAGACATACAGCAAGTCAGCAACATATACCGTATAACCGGTTGTACGGTGTTTGTTACTCGACTTCCGCGAGATCAAGCTGCAGAGAGGAAGAGAAGAAGACTTGCGCGGCTGAGAAAGCCACGAAGGGGAAAGACTAGGGAGATTAGGGTTTTGGGGGAATAAAAGTTGCTTATTATTATTGATAAGGGTTGGTCCCTTTAAATAGAGTTTCCCCATTCCTAATTAATCTAATTTTCTACCCTGTCGGTTCAAGAAAAGCATCGAGGTAAAGAACCGAAAAGAAACCCTCGAAGGAGCTTATAAACCGCTCACCTAGTAAAAATCTACGTTACAAAATATTAATAAAATATTAAACATAATCTCGGTATCGTCGGGGTGGCCCGACGTTCCTCCTTGGCCGTACGGGTGCTGGGTCGCCGCCTGGTTCCATATCCTCCTCATGTACGGTATCAACTCCCCCCGCCCACGGAAATCGCCTTGTCCTCAAGGCGAAGATCGGGATAGTGTTGTTGGAGAGCTGATGCCGGTTCCCACGTCGCATCAGTATCGGTGCCATCGGACCAACGAACTAGCCACTGCTCTTGAGCAACCCCATCCACCAGCACGGAGCGCCTATCCAACACGGCCGTAGGGACCGAAACTGGTCGCCCCTTAAAGAAAACAGCAGGCAGAGCAGAGGTGGGGATGGGTTGATCCGGCTGGATAAACGGCCGGAGTAGGGAGACGTGAAAAACGTCATGGATTTGACTCCCCGCCGGTAATTGCAGCCTGTAGGCGACAGGCCCAACCTGTT